AATGTTTCTAATATTATTCACATAACTCTAGCATTTTCAAATACAGATTAGGTAATTTGGACATACGAAAATACACATAGAAATGATGTACTATACAAGTCATCAGTTACGCATTTAGTTAACGGAACTCTTCTAAATTCATCTTTAAATTTGTCTTATAGAACTAAGATATAATGATTAATTTCCCTGCCAGTACCCGAACCAGCGCTAGCCTAACCCACCACAACTTAACCTAAACCAGTCCAACCCCATTTAACCTAACATTAACCTAAGGAACGTCAACTGTAGCAAAACTTAACCTAATACAACTAATCCTAGCCTAGTCCAACCCCACCTAACCTAACCGAACTAAACTTCATCTCAACAATGAACCATTAGCGTGTGGTCATGGAGAGAAAGTTAGTCTACCTAGTGTTCCTCTCCCACAGATCGACATCGTCATCAAGACTCTGGATAACAAGAAGTTCGCCCTCAGAATCAACTCCTCCTGGAAGGTGTTAGACCTGAAGCACCTGCTGGGGAGGCAGACGGGCGTGGAGGCACAAGCCATCAGCATTGTTTTCAGCACAGCCTTACTGAAAGATGAAGACACCTTAGTCGACAGTGGCCTTCGTTCTGGGTCTACTGTACATGTGTCCCAGAAATTCCTTGGAGGCGGTGGGATCTGAGACTTTTCTTTCCATTTTCCTCTTTTTCTCTTTATCTTTTCCTTTCTCCCTTATTCCCTTTTTCTCTTGTTCCCTACAGCAGTTCTCTTCAGATTAATTAATTATCAACAACTTCTCGAGACCTTTCCCCACTTATTTCACCTAGAGGTTAGACACCCAGCTTAATTCAGTCGTAAGATTAGACACCCAGCTTATTTCAACGTAAGATTAGACACCCAGCTTATTTCAACGTAAGATTAGACACCCATTTTATTTCAACTTTAGATTAACACCCTGCTTATTTCTACGTAATATTAGACACCCAATTTATTTCAACGTTAAATTAACACCCAGCTTATTTCAACGTACTCGGGCTTCGGAGAAGTCTTATACCATGGCTTACAGACTTCCTCAGTGACCGACGCCAAGCTGTACGCTTCCGAGGGGCTGTCTCCACCTTTCAGTCACTCACCTGTGGCGTCCCCCAAGGCACCAAGATGGGACCACTCTGCTTCCTTATGCTCATCAATGATGCCCTAAGAGAAACCCCTGCTCGCTGGAAATATGTCGACGACTCCACCATTGGGATCAGCGTCAACAATTCTGCTCCCAACTATACCGCCCTTCAGGATTTATTGAACAGTCTCCAAAACTGGGCCACCAACAATCATGTCACCATCAACCATACCAAGACCATGGTTATGCACATCAACCTCTCCTCCGACATTGTCCCACCTCCTTCCATTACTCTAGGTCCGAACACACTCCAGGTTGTAAATTCCACGAAGCTCCTCGGTGTCACCATAGACAACAAACTAAATTGGAAACCACACGTCAGTGAAGTTGTCAAATCCTCCAGTTTCCGTCTCCACCTCCTCCGCCGACTCAAGTCCCTCGGAGTTCCTGCACCCGAGCTCCTCAGTGTTTACTCAACATTCATACTTCCCAAGCTCACCTATGCCTCCCCACCTGGTCTTCCTCCAAATGCCACACAACGTAAACACCTAGAAAAAGTGCAAAAGAGGGCATGCAAGATCATTCTCTCCCCTTCCTACTCCACATATCAAGAAGCGCTCAACACACTGACCCTTTCGACTCTCACTGACCAATACCATCTGCAAATTTGGTAAGAAGCTTCTACACCATCCTCGACACCGGCTCCTACTACCACCTGAGATCCCTAGTCCGAGAATTGCTGTTCGACACCACAACCGCATCCAGCCCATACGTGCACGAAGTGATCGCTATAAGAACAGCCCAGTCCCAACCATTGTAAAAATTATCAATAACTTGTAATAAACCAGTGTATTCACTCCCAGTAAACACTACTCCTTGCACTGTCACTATGTTGAAATGAACTGTAGTTTGAGCTTTACCCCATCTAGTTATTATATGTCTTATTTGTGTCACTTATGTTACTTGTATATTATTTGTAATTCGAAACCCATTCCCCAAATATGTAACTGTATATTTTCAGCCTTCTGGCTGCCAAGCTCTTTCAATAAACCGTTAATTATTATTATTATTATTATTATTAGTAAGATTAAACACTCCAGTTTATTTCTATATAAGATTAGACCCCAGCTTATTTCAACGTAAGATTAGACACCCCAGTTTATTTCAACGCAAGATTAGACACCCAGCTTAATTCAACGTAAGATTAGACACCCAGCTTATTTCAACGCAAGATTAGACACCCAGCTTAATTCAACGTAGGATTAGACACCCAGCTTATTTCAACGTAAGATTAGACACCCAGCTTAATTCAACGTAAGATTAGACACCCAATTTATTTCAACGTTAAATTAACACCCAGCTTATTTCAACGTAAGATTAAACACTCCAGTTTATTTCTATATAAGATTGGACCCCAGCTTATTTCAACGTAAGATTAGACCACCCAGCTTATTTCAACGTAAGATTAGACACCCCAGTTTATTTCAACGTAAGATTAGACCCCCAGCTTATTCCTATATAAGATTAGACACCCCAGTTTATTTCATTGTAAGATTAGACCCCCAGTTTATTTCAACGCAAGATTAGACACCCCAGCTTATTTTTATATAAGATTAGACCCCAGCTTATTTCAACGTAAGATTAGACTCCCCAGTTTATTTCATTGTAAGATTAGACCCCCAGTTTATTTCAACGCAAGATTAGACCCCAGCTTATTTCAACGCAAGAATAGTCACCTCAGCTTATTTCAGCTTAAGATTAGACACCCCAGCTTATTTCTATATAAGATTAGACACCACAGCTTATTTCAACTTTAGATTAACACCTCAGCTTATTTCACTTTAAGTTTAACCTCCTTAATGCTTGCCTAAACTAACCTAACCTCACCAAAACACCTTAATGCTAACGTAACATAGCAGAATGTAACGTAACGTAGCATAGCATAGCATAACATAACATAGCCTAACATTGCATAACATAACATAGCCTAACATTGCATAACATAGCATCTCATAGCATAACATAACATAACATAACATAACATAACATAGCCTAACATAACATAGCTTAACTTAACATAGCCTAATGTAATGATGGTTTATTTATCAGACCAGAGCTTACATCTCGGAAAAAGTCCAGACCTGACCTTACATTAGCGAGGTCAAATGTAAGGGGACCCCTCGCCGCTGCAAGTCAAGGAACTACAAATCAGCCAGCACCCCTGTCACACGGCCCCACCAACTATGTTAAGAGGCACCCAGTCAGCAGAAGAGGCCACCTGCCTCCAATATATACAACAACTTACATCTCAGAAGAAGTCCAGACCTGACCCTACATTAGCGAGGTCAAATGTAAGGGGACCCTTCGCCGCCGCCCGATCAGCTCAAACTGACTGCTCGTCTCCCAATATATAGGACGTCGTAGCCCTCCCTCGAGACACACACAGAGGGATCACAGGAGGAAGTCCACCACAGCTAGAGGTGCCAGCCGAGTCCCGCTCACAGGAGGCAGAGTCACGCAAGCCCTCCCTCCGGTCGGGAGGGAGACTTCCCTCCCGACACCAGTGTCACCAGCTAATCAGTCTCTCATAGATGACAGCCAGAAGCACCTGCTGGGCCTACCTCAGGTCACGTGAGTTTTTGGCAGAGCTATCCATAGGATGAGTTACTTAGTGGGAAGTGTATTCATTTCATGTTTGTGTCCGAGAATCAGTGTCTAGTAACGTAAATATAATGTCCTTGCAACGTAAATATAATGTCCTAGTAACGTAAATATAATGTCCTAGTAACTTCGATAGAAGGTGTTATTAATGTGTCCATGCCATTGTCGTAATTAATAAATAGTTGTAACGAAGCGGTGTTTGAGAAGTCGTCCTTAAGAACGTAATAGATGTGTATTGACGTATAAGATAAGATAAATGTATTGACAGTGTAAATAACTAACTGGCCCCGCTACCAAACTCTTCCTCTCTTTACATTCCTACTACTATCAATATTCTACCTATATGTAAATATCTTCTATACGAGCTCTGTCGTGTTACAGGTGACAGCGAACTATACGTTAACCCACGCCCTCCTCGCTTAGTCATTACACTGGTGGCAGAGTACTTAACGTAAACTTACGCCTTCCCTTGGTTAGCCATAACACCTGGCTCGTCTCATCCTTCATTTAATTCAGTTTGAGTATTGTTTAAAAGTGTGCAATAAGGAATTCCTGTGTCGTAGCGTGAAAAGTGTCCTAGTGCGTCATCTTTACAGCCCAAGTCAATGTCTCTCGTCGTGGTATGCGCGAATTGTTACTAGCAAAACACTCCCAGAATATGTTCAGTGCTTAATATGATTTCTCAGTGTTCCCCGCGTTTTGTAAAGTTTTCAGTATCCCAAGTGTATTTTGATTGTCGGTCAGTGTTAAATGTACCCATTGTGTTTTAGTGATAGAAGCTCTGTCTATACTAACTGTTATAACCTAACATGTCTTATAACCTACATCCTCCTCCCTGTCCTAATCCTCACCTCACCCCCCCCTTACCCTTCCGTCCCTGCCCTGCCCTGCCCTGCCCCGCCCCGCCCCGCCCGGCCTGGCCTGGCCCGGCCCGGTCAGCCACGCCTCGCCTCCTCCCTACTGCACTCGCTCCACCTCACCCGCCCCGCCTCACCCGCTCCGCCTCACCCGCCATGCCTCACCCGCTCCGCCTTACCCGCCCCGCCTCACCCGCTCCGCCTCCACCCGCCTCGCACCGTCCAGTGTGACCGCAATAATCCCCCGTCTTTTGTCCCGTAAGCTATGTGTTGATAATGATGGTTAATGCAAATTAATATTGCGATAAATGCAGAGCTTTACTCAGGTATTTTTATGCTAGTATGATTTGTAATGTACAGTACTCTTTGACGCGTAGTGATAAATGATATTCAGTGTAGTGAGCAGAGCTTCACTCCCCGACCCAGCCTAATGAGAACATTGTCGTGACGGAAACCATAGTTGCCAAACACTGACGTAACGTATAAAGTAAACTTTTTTTTACGGATGCACTTCCAACTAATCCATTCATCCCTTTAGGATTGTTTCTCTGTCAAATGTCACACACAGTACCGCCCATGGCCAGCCGGAACCCAACCACAGCACATACGAGCACATGAGAAGCAGCGTGATGAATGCAGCACCACACCCACCACACACCACTTCACTTCTTTCAAGTCCTCCCAGGTCTAGGATTAAGAAGATTTTATATTTTTCTACTTTAGGAAGTTAAGGAGTGTGGAATGCAGCACCACACATCAAACCCTGGCAAGCCGAACCAGGGAGGGGATTTCCGCTGTGGGGGCGTGGGACAGGACGGTCAAGGATCCAGCCGATACTCATGTACAGAGGGCGAAACCAGGGCCACATAGACTGCCCCACACGTCGTCCTGAGCGATGGCATCCCCCCCAGTGTGACCGGCTACCCCCCGGCCGGATTGGCGGAAAGTTAGGTTGCAAAGAAGAAAGGCAGATGGAACAGAAAAATCATCTGGAATATGAAAATGAAGCTGTATAAAGAAACGCAGATGGGGCTAGGAAAACTCATCTGGAATAGGTTGAAAAATGATGCTCTAAACGTAGAGGAAAAACGCAGATGGGGCTAGAAAAACTCATCTGGAATATGATAGAAACCAGGAGGAAGTGAGAAGAAGTCAGAAGGTGTGGAGACACGACCTACAAGGTGCGGTATTGAAGAAAGAAATACTTGCTATGTGAAGAAAGAAGACAGAAGACGTGCTGTGCTGACAGAAGAAAGTCGACGATGAAAAGGTGGATCATCAGAAGGACCAACCGACTACCGCTGTTGTGCTGCCGTTATCCCCTATCTCCGATACCAGCTGGATGGAGGACGTGAGCCATGCTGGACCACACTAATGTACTGATGTTGTTGATGTTGTTGATGTACAATAAAAAGATATAACACCCTAACATGTGAAGTAGGAGCAT